AATCAAAATGTTTATGAACTAACTTGTTCATATTTTAAAACTAATTCTTAATTCAAAATACTAATTCCTACTTCAATTAAAAGCAAGTTATTCAATTCAAGACTAAAGGATTCTCCTTTCAGGTTTGATGGAGTCCTAATCTCTCTTAAACACTTTTTTTTGCAACTGTCTTTTCTTTTCTCCTTTTCTTTTTGGATAAATAAACTGTCTTTTTTTTCTTTTTTTTGAACAGGTACAACTCGGGGTAGGAGGAGGGGGACAAGCATGTCATCGTCATGCCTCGAACCTTTATTATTATCAAGGCATTGGATACACTTAACAACTAGCTTATAAGACATGATGCAAGTTAACCCTCTTTCTCAAAATTATTTGTCCTAGACCAAATAACGGGTGTATTACAAACTTACTTTGTTTGAGGTGTTCTAAGGAATTTGTATCTTTGTAGTACCACAAGCGATTTGTTTTTATTCTCTTTCTTCGAGTAAAATCCAACCTCATGTTGGTAGTGACAGTTTACAAGTACTGTAAAATCAAGCCAAAAGTCCGGAACCCACATTATTAAAAGATAAGGGAAATGAGTAGCGAAAAGAGCCTACTGATCTTAATAATTAAAAACATCTTTCCATTCCAATAAAAGGATAATTTGCCATTTAAGAGTATATATTCTTGAAAAAAATATTTTAAATTGTGGCCAAAACCATCAGCAAGTTAAGAAGATATTACTAAACCAAATAAACAAAATGTCATTTTGATTTTAGGGTAAATGGATTATCCAACTGAAAGTAGATGAGTCTCGTGCCACACCAAAAATAAGGTTTCACAGCTGGGAATCCCCATAAACAAATACAATTCTCCCTAGACCAAGTCATGCATCCTTGATGATGACAATACAATTGTAGTAACTACTAAGGGAAGCTTGTTGATCATGATGACAGTTTTCAACTCATAGGCGAGTAATGACAGCTTCCACCTCCGAAGGGGTATATAGATGGTAGGTTGGTGCTACCTTGGCAATGTCAACATTGTTGGGAGTAACCTGCAATAAGTAAAATGGTTAGATAACAGAGAAAAAGGCATAATTCTAAGAGAGCATTGTAATCAGAAGATCTTTATACCTTCTCTTCCATTACTTGTTTCAGAATGGATAAAGCAATTGTCTCAGCTTCTTGAAGAGTTAGTTCCTGCAGCAAAAATATCCAATCAACATCATCAGCAGCCATGTATTACTGGCTGGATACTAAAAATAGGTTGATTCAGTTGGTGCTTCCAAGTCCTGATCTATTAAGTTGTCTAGTCACTGAATTTTCCCAGGGATAGAAAACAAACAGCTAAACTAAAATTATAAAAAATGCACACAAGAACATGGACTAGAAGTATAGATACCTTGTTATACTGCTCCTGCAAAGAGCTGTCTGCACCTTCCGAACCTGAACCAATAGCTTTTGCATTGCATTGCCAAAATGTGCCAGAGGGGTCTGTATAGTACCTGCATGATAGTTGTTTTGGACAGATAAATTAACATGGAGAAATGGGCAGTCTGATAGCATAAATGGCATACCCATCAGGCCCACAGTAGTCCAAATTGTGATTTACATCTAATAAGAACTATAGCTGCAAGCTTACAGGGACTTTGACCACTCTTCCTGCCCATATTGCATAAATAAACCCCAGACAGAGGTAAAAGAATCATGTGACTGAACAGAAATAACTGGTTTCATGTCAAAGATGAGGCATGTTGTCTGGTGAGCATCACACTTATCACCATGCAATCTTGGTGTAATAGGTTGGAATTGTATCATTCAGATGATAACCCAAAACATACTAAAGCAGTATGGGTGGTGCCACAAAGGAAGAGTGCATTCAGGCCTCAGCTCTCAGCTTCTTTACTTTGGTAAGTTCTAAGATATTTACAATTTAGAATTAGTAATCAAAGCATGCATCTTCTAGCTATAGCAGTAATGTCTTGTGCATCATAGACCACATATCAGTAAATGTAACCCACCCTTCTATCTTACTAGTGCAAAGTAATTGGCATGTAGTATCATGGTGGCAAGTCAGTATTACAGAAGTTTACATATCTAAAAAGGGCAAGGTAGAAATTTGCAAATAAAAACCAATTGCTTACAGCGTACCTAGGGATAGAGAGATGTATAACCAGCTCAGAGAAGCATGGTAATTCACATTCATCCATTAGTAATAAATAATCCATGAATAAAAGCAAATATGACCTCAGCAATCTTTGTCACATACATAATTAAGAAATGCTAGAAGATATTTTCCATAGAAAGCCAACACCCAACAGAAATATATAGTCTAACTGCTACTTACAAGCTGGGTCCGTGCTCATCATGACCAGCAATGAGCAGAGAAACCCCAAACGGTCGAGACTGCAAAGAAGACAGACATCAATATTCATAAACAAGTTACTAAAAGAGCAAAAAGTGATCACATACAAATAAATTAATGGAATTGTAAAAGATGACTCAGACACATGTTGAACCCAGTAAAAAATAAATAAAAATTCAAACAAAATAATGTGGAAAACTCAAACCTCCTCTATAGATTGATTAAAACGATTACATACAAACCAAAATCACAGAATAAAGTGTAGAATGGTATGTGCTAGTGCCCTTGCAGTGTGGCACAAAGGCTTAGTTCATTTGAGTTGAATTGGTGTTGATAACTTATCACCCTGTCTTGTTTCAACTGTAGCATATATACTGTCTCTTGAAATTGCTATGACATCATTCTTGCTATTTGAAAGTTTAAAGCATCAATAAAAATATAAAATAAGGTAAATCCAAAAGAAATTTTAGGATTAAATAAACAGACATGCTTAACATAGTAGAATGCACACTGTTAATGAGAAATCATTAATAGATAACATCACTGGAGATGGTAACAGGATTTGCAACCTTGAAATAAATGATAAGAGTAATTACCATTGATTCTTCATCTCCTTCACCAAATCGAAGGGCTAAATCACAAAGAGCTTGTGTTGTAGACTCTACTGTCATTGGCTCACCATACGAGAATCTATGGTTCTGTGAGAATGAAAATGGAAATATCAGGTACACTAAGGTTTTTATACTAAATACCATTTTATCATAGATTAATGCCAGTGGAATCCATAATACCTGAGTTTCAACTCGTGCATGTTCAACAAGTGTACGTGCATCAGCAATCAATCCACTCATAGCACATCCTATATGCTCATCAATTTCCATAATTTTCTCAACACTGCTGGGCTCCTGAAAGAGAGTTCAAAAGAATTGATGCCTGGAAGAATTGGCAATCCTCAACAACTAAAATTATCAAAGCATGCAGTAGATACTGCTTCTGAAGTATGATGTCTCCAAGTGACTAGACAAGTGAATAAAGAATACTACTACTTATGAAAATAAAGAATATGGGATTTTTACAGTATATGGAATGGTATGCCAAAGGAATAAAGTAGCAGACAAGTGAATAGGATGCATGGATAAAGAACCTGCAATTATAAGCTTCACTAGTAATTTTGCATCATATCTGGTGCATGGTCCTACACACAATCAGGGAACATAAACAAGAACTACTTCCTACCATCTCATTAGAATGCCTATATTTGTATTTAACTTCATTGAATAACAGACAAAACAAAAATGCAAAAGTGAAATAAATTTGCTCCACCACAATCAGGAACCAGCTAAAGCCAACAATTATTACCTGAAACTAAAAATAATAACCAGCTATCAGAGCAAAACGTCAACTAAAAAGAAGATGACATACCAAGAGCGGTGAAGTGATTCGCTTCTCAACAGCCAGCACAACGCCTTCTTTAGTCTTTAGCCCAATTGCAGTTGAACCCAGCTGTGGTTATCAATTCAAAAACCCACTTGCATTAAACCCCCACAGTTAAACCCCATGATTATTTTCATTAAATTAAGAAAAATAAAAACTTGACCACAGTCAAACCCAAAGGAAACACTTTTCTTGCAAAAAAATTCAGCAACAATTTCCATGTAAACAAATAGAATGGGTTTTGGGGTTTGGCAATCTACCTTGATGGCTTCAATTGCGTACTCCACCTGAAACAATCTTCCCTCCGGAGAGAAAGTATTGACACCTCGATCATACTCAGTCCTGAACAAAACCCATCACCAAAAAAACACAAAAAATTAGAAAATGATAACAATTGGGAAGTTTGAACTATGCAAGTGAAGAGTCTTTATGGGTACCTGGTGAGAAACATTTCGAATTGATTGGATCTAAAAACCTGATGCCTGCAACAGAGAAACAGAGGAACATCAGGCATAGGAACGAACTGAAATCCATGAAAACGGGATTTGAAGAAGGAAAGAATAAGATGAAGATCAAAATACAACAGGAAGAAAGAGACTCACTTGTTTAGGGAGTGAAGAGGAAAGAAGAAAGGCGAGCTATTGTTGTACCTTTTTTTTCCTCTTTATGGGAAGGCTTCGTAGAAAGCAAGACAAGGCAAAAAACGATGTCGTTTTGTTTTGAAGAGGAACAACCTTGTTAGTTTGGATCTATCTTGGGCCACAGAGGTGCTCTTTTGAAATGTCCATGGGCCACCTATTCTCCTTTCAGTTTTCAGAAAAGAAATCTTAACGGGCCAATGACTGGGCCTAAATTGACCATGACGACCAGGATTCGTGTTCTGCTTCTCCCCAAAGAAGGGGAGATTGCGTGGATTAGTCCATGATCTTTCAAAAACCAATCAGTCTGGTTCTCAATCTCTTTTGAGGTAGATTGCCCATTATTAATTGTTACATTTGGGCCATGATTCATTTCTGTGGGATACATAGATGGTAGAATGAGCATCATAGAGATATGATTCAATAGTTAAGAAGTCAAGATTTTGTATTAGAGATTTTAAATTTGAATTTTAAAATAAATAGAGAGTAGTATTCCCTAACTCATTATTTGAAATACTAGAAAAAAAAGGAATTACTCTATAGAATAGACTAAATGAAAATTATAAGAATAATGATATATGAGATTAAATTAAAATTTGGAATCAAAATCTAGGACTAATGATATTATATAAGTTATATCATTTAAAATATTAAAAAATTAACCATGTATTATTTAATGATTGATTTTTTTTTAAGATCTATATATTATATGTATTTACTCATTTAATATTATATCATATTTTATTTAATGTCATATAAAATTATAAATTTATAATATTATGGCATTATAACTATAACATTGTCATAACTGATAATGAGAACAAAATACCTATAAAAAAATTGAATTAAAGTTTTAGCAATAAACCTAACATAAAACATAATGACAAAAGTATAAAAAATGTAGTTCAATTGATAAAATCTAACGGTACTTGAATCTCCAGTCTCGTTATAAAATAAATAAATAAATAAATAAAGGGGAAAGGAATATGGAACAGAGCTGCACTGGTGCTTGAGGACAAGCATGCCTGAAGTGGCTGCAGAATCCATGAAAACCGGTTTTTTAGTGGTTCATCACAGAAACAGTGTAATATCTTGAACTGTGTCTGAGATACTTTACCAGAAGAGCTGGACTGAATCGAAGAAAAGCCCAAAACAACAACACAAGTGCGACAACCAACTGAAACTGTACTGACCCCCCACCCCCAAAAAAAAAAAAAAAGAATAGAATAGAAAAAAACAGCTACCACTGAAATTTTTTCCATTTCTTTTTTTTTTTCTTCCGTTCTGCTTGGAGAAAAAATGCGTCAATGCATTTATGCATGAATATACGTAGGTTCCTCTGATAAATCCATTTTTTGGAGATCCAAAATGCGTGAATGCATTTATGCATGAATATATGTAGGTTCCTCTGATAAATCCATTTT